ACATTGGTCTCTTTGATATTTGGGACGCTTTTGATATTCTATGCACGTTCAATATCACTTTCTCGTCATTTTTAATAACTTTAATATTACAATATTATATTTTAAACTATAATAAATGCTTAAACATTATCAGTCAGCAAGAAATCATATGATGTGACTTTGGATGTAACGTAGTCTTTCATTAATATTTTTAAAAATGGTCGGAAAAGAAAAATATACTTTGATTTCTATAGTCAATTATTATTTCGCATAATTTAGAAACAAGTGCACTTTTAAATGTAGTATGTTTTATGCTACACATACTGCGAACAGTAAGTGTTCAATAAGTAGATTCATAGAGTTTTTGCAGGTTATTTATAGAAAAAGCTTTAACATAGAACAAAGATTCCCATAAGCCAAAAAATTTAAATAGTAGTAAATTTATACATATAAAAAAAATTATAACCATGTGGTAAACTAAAATTGCACAACTATTCTAATAAATTAACTTATTACTACAGTAAACATTTTACAAATCACTAAAAAGAAAAAGAAAGAGAGATAGATAATTAATAATTCCAATAATTTTCATACTAATTAATGCAAACTTGAATATCTTTGATCCAATATACTATGTATTAATGTACTATATAAGTATTGCAGATGTACTTTAAAAAAAAGAAAACGAAAAAAAGAGATCTACTTTGCAAACAAGTATTTTTTTATACTTATTTCAAACTTTTAATATATGAAAAACAATACTTGGTTTGCTTTTTGAAATATTTATGATTACTGTACATATTATGTATATTTCTATTATGTAAGATTTCATCAAAATGATTACATAAAAATAGTGATAATTATTACCATTATAAGGAACTTTCTTTACTAAAATATTATTAAACATAAAAAAATATATATGTACACACACACACACACACACACACACACACAATAATAGCTTGCTTTAATATTTTGAAAATTTGAAATTTTGTCAAATAAGATATATTAGAAGCGTATATATATTTTTTTTTATTTCTTAGAAACCAAACCTCAATAAAATAAATATTAATTTGAAAACAAAAAAACCAAAAGGAATAATAATTATAGTAATTTTTTTATATAGTTATAAATTTTTAGGCGATGATCATTTTCGCATTTAATCAATCTCATTCACAATTCTGATATGCGATCATCGTTTATTTCCACCAAATTAAATGTACCAGAAAGATAAATCCTATAAGTAGTTTCTCACAAATTGTGAAAACTTCGGGAATCATCGGCTATGCTCGACTATATTCGACGTGTTTGATTGGGAATCACGGGATTCCCCAAAGGAAGAAGAAGAAGAAGAAGAAAGAAGAAAGAACAGAGACGACGTTCGAGCTCAGGCGTCGCGACGCAAAAACATTTACTTCTAACAGTCTAAGCACTGCTTACTATTTTTAGATCTGTCGTTTCGCTTGGCCATGCCAAGCTTTCAAATCGTACGACGGCGTTACGAATCAGCTTCGAAAAATAATTCGTCGAATTGTTACATATATATATTAAATACCAATTTTCCATTTTATTAAATCATCTTTTTTCTTTTTTTTGGAGAATCCCCTTCAATGATATCAAATTTAGATTACAAAATAAAATCTCGAAATGAGAAATAAAAATAACACACATATGTACATATATAACCAAAATAGATACATATGTATATAACTCAACATATTACAAATGATTAATCTAAATTAAAATATAAATCATCTTATTTTTAATCATTCAATTATTCTTCTACATCTTCTAAAAACACATCGCTTAATATTTATGAAATTTTTTAAGTTTAATTCTAGACTTTACATCATTTAAGATGATTTTATGCTTTTTAATATTTGGATACTAATTAATTATTAGTATTATTCAACTTTTTTTTCTTTTTTACTAATATGTCTATATTATTTCCTTTACATTTTTATAAAGTGTACGAACACATGGTATGAATGTTTAAAACATAGGCGGCCATTTTAAATATTTCTCTCATATGGTAAAAAAATATTAACCTTTTTCAAAAAATTAAATAAAAATTTTCTAATGACTATAAATCGAATAATACGAAAAAAAGAAGAACGTCTTTCATTTCGTTATTTAATAATAAAAACATTGAAAAAAAGAAAAAAATAGAAAATTGTCAACGAACGAAATTCGTTGGCTGATCATAAATTGTACGACGTAAATATAACCTCCCTACTGGATATTTCGGACTTTGGATATTTCTGTGAAACGAAATGAACGAGCGTAGCAAAAAGCTTGGAGGAAGCATTTTAACACAAGCGCAACATATATACATACATACATACATACATATATACATATATACATATACATATATATATATATATATATATATATATATATACAGTATACATACTCGAGATGAATTCATTTCTTCGTATAAAAAAAGAGCAATAAAAAAATTTTCCTTTGTGGTTCTTTCACGTTTGCTCTCACTGGGACTTCCCTGAACGTGGATGCGCCATAATGAAACAATTCTAAGGAATTTGGCAGTAAACGAAACTTTTGCACGTGCCGGATGTTGTTATTTGCAGGTCGTTGGCGTTTTCATATTACTGTTAATACAAGAAGAAGCAAGCAATCGAACAATCTTAATTTCGTCTAACAATAAAAAATCGGAAAGTATTTTGCAAAAAAAAAAAATTAAAGAAGGAGAAAAAGAATTAATTACATAATTAATTAAAACGATCATGTACATACAAACATTTATCTACACATTCAACAAATTCAATTTTCTATAAAATTCAAAATCCTTATATATTTTTATATAAATTTATGAATAAACAAAACAGAGAGAGAGAGAGAGAGAGAGAAAGAGAGAGAGAGAGAAAGAGAACGAAAAAAATATACCTAATATCATTTTTGAAATTATGTTACAAAAAAAATGTTGATCCAACTGATGGCCGAACTTTTGGCACACTTGATATTTAACTATTTCTATTTTTATATTCGAGAGATTGTGATATTATCTTACAATTTTACTGACATTTCGTTTAACACTTCTTTTTTTCTCCCTTCTCATATATGTTAGTTTTTTGATCTCTCTCTCTCCCTCTCTCTCTCTCACCCCTTTATCATTTTCTCCATGCAATTCCATAATTTTTAAAAAATAGTTGTAAATTGTACATCGTAAAACTACAAATTTAAGAATTTTTTTAGAATCTGAAAAAAATTAGCTTACATAAAATAGAGACCTCGAAACAGTTAGTGTCATTTGATTCTCTTCATATTGAATTTCATTGTTTTAAATTTTGAAGAAACATATTATGTTGTAAGATTAATATTTTATATATATATATATATATATATATATCGTGCATTTGTATTGATATATTTTAAAACAAATTTTTTTCTTTTTTTTCGACACATTTTTTTTTTCTTTTTTTTCTTTTTTATTCTTTTTTTATTTTATTTCATTTTTATATGATTCTGTTGTCTTAAAAAAAAACATCAGGAACTAATTTATTCTATTTTACTTACTCTATTATATTATCAGGATCCGTCGTTAGAAATTTGTAAGAAACAATAAAAACATTCTTGTAAAAGTTTACAAGTCAAGACCAGTCTATGTATTTTCACTGAATTTCGTTTACTCGTCAAATTATTACACGTTCACCAAAATGTTGTATTATTATTATTATCATTATTATTATTATTATTATTATTATTATTATTATTAATATTAATATTATTATTATTATTATTATTCCCTTTTTTTGATATTTTTTTCATATATTTTTTTTTCAATACAATGTTTTTTTCGACACGCTCACCTCCCTTCTTCTCTTTCTCTCTCTCTCTCTCTCTCTCTCTCTCTCTCTCTCTCTCTCACTCATTCTCACGCACACATCTTTCATATCATTGTCTTTCTCACACTCTCTTCTCATTGCATACATTTCTCTCAGTCTTTCGCATGCTCTTGCTCAGAAAAAAATACAAAATCTCTGACTAAAGACAAATGTCTCTACGAGAACTTAACTCTCGTATAGACAAAGAAAGAAAGAAACAAAAAAAAAAGATAAAAGATAAAATAAAATAAAAATAAAACGAAAGACGAAAAATAACAGAGTATCACCATGTACAAGGAACCATAAAAACAATGCAAACCATCCCTCGTCCGACTTTCAATGAACATTTTTGTTGAATACATATGTTTGTAACAAAAGATTTTGTTCAAATTCATAAAAACAAGGAAAAAAGATATATATATATATATATAAAGAAGCCACTAAGAAACCACGTGACGTAACTTTATTACATATTATACTTCATTACATATATAACTTCATTCCTAAGCTATAAATGAAAAGACCCTTTCGTGAGTTTTTAATTATATCGTTATTTGTTTCTTTTTGCCTTTAAACAAATTTGTTTACCATTTAAACATAAAAACGAAAGTCTCGTTTTTTTTCTCCTCGGACAACGGACAAGATGCATAGTTTCTTAATGAACGACATACGCGCGCATGCACGCGCACACATACGCACACATACGTACATACACACACACATTCCTCCTATATATGTATGTACATGTTTCATATTCATACACTGTTACGGTCGATGACACACAAGAAAGCCACAGGAACGGTCGGGCTTGAAAATTTTTTTGAAAATTCTCTCTCTCTCTCTCTCTTTCTCTTTCTCTTTCTCTCTCTCTCTCTCTCTCTCTCTCTCTCTCTCTCTCTCTCTCTCTCTCTCTCTCTTCTCTCTCTCTCTCTTTCTCTCTCTCTCTCTTTCTCTCTCCCTCCTCTTCTCTCTCTCCCTCTCCCCCTCTCTCTCTCTCACACACACACCTAAGTGCAAGCATACACAATAAATTATAAATAATAACATTAATTAATATAGTTTATATACTTTACAATGTGCGCGCCGTAATACTAAAGCGTACGGATCTCTCTATTTGACGTTGGCGTTTATATTTTTGATTTCGTTTGATTATTATTGTTATTATTATTATTTTTTTTTTTTTTTATTAGCATCACATCGTCATCATTATTTTATTTCATATGTATTATAAACTTTGCTCCGTTGAATAATTTATTTATTTATTTATTTATCTTGTTGTTTCCTAATAAATTCGTGAGAATCTTTTAAAATACTTAAAAAAACGCCATTCTCGTTTTTATTTTTTTTCCCCGCCTTTTCATTAATTTGGGATCGAGGATCCTTTCAGACGAATATTTCACACATATGTATATGTATATGTATATGTATTTGCATGTATATATATATATATATGTATTTTTTACCTAACTCGGTAAATAATACAAATAAAGAAAGTATTAAAGTACTTTAAGTTTTTTTTTTTCTAATGATAAGATTAACGATACTTGACAAGGCACCATCATCAATTAATTAGTTTTTATGGTAAGAAAATAATGTCACGTTACGATTGGATGGAATATAAGAAATACGCTACTATATTTGTGATAAAAATTATTCATAATAGTTTGTTAACAATTATTTATAAAAAGAAAAAAAAAATGCAAATTTTGAGACACGCAAAGAAATTTTTTGTTTTTATTTCGCTGCAATATATGCATTGTATATAAATAGATGGTGTAACCATTTCAAGTATACCGATTTTAATGTATCAACCCTTATACACATGTGCACATGTGCATGCGATATGCGTTTCTTAAAAAAAGAAAAAGAAAAAGAAAAGAAATATCAGAAATACAAATCAAATAATACTTTTCTGATACTTCATATGTGTATATATATATATATATATATATATATATATATATATATACACACACACGCTGATAGAAATAAGTCAAGTCCTTCGAGAAACATTGTGCATCGCAGCGGAAGAAAATTTCATAAAAAAAGGATTATGTACTTGAAAAATTATTATTATTATTATTATTATTATTATTATTATTATTATTATTATTATTATTATTATTATTAATATTATTATTATTAATATTATTATTATTATTTTTTTTGTTCATCGAAGGACAATAAAAGTAAAAATGGACGAGAGAAAAAATATATCAACGTGTAAAACGTTATACAGATTCATATATCTGTCGATTATCAGCGGATTCACGACGATCATCAGTCCAACTCTAAATCGAACTCAAGCTAAAAAAAAAAAAAAAAAAAAAAAAAGGAAGAAAAACAATAAAATGGCGGTGAGTCGCAAGATTCGTAGTTTCTAAGATGTAGAAACAATCGTATTTGTTGGATGGGGCACGAGCGACTTTATCGCCATCTAGTGGCCGACAAACAAATTATGATTTACAAAAAGAAAAACAACATGGCAATCCACATCCTTCCTTTTCCTTTTCTTTACTTGGCATTCGCTTCCGTACTTTGCGGAGGTGGTAAAGGTATCGGTTTTTCTGATATAGGTTTAGCTTGTTTCTTTGCTTTCTTTATCGTTTTCGGTGACAAAAGTGATTTACTCATTCCTTTGTCGACCTTAGTCTTTTCCTGACTATCTGTAATTTGTTTTTCATCGTCCATTGGCTTTGTTCATCACTGTCCAATTTGATTTCATGCGATACATTTTGATTCTCGTCTTTCTTTTCCTCAACAACACTTTCTACTTTCTCTTGCACTTCCATTGGACTAGACGAATCAATTTGCATCGTCACTTCAGTAATATTATTCGTGTTATCGTTCGATGATTTATCGGCAACAATTTCGATCTCTTGTTTCTGCTGTTCTTGTTGTTGTTGTTCCTCATTGATAACAGCTGGAACCTCCTGCTCTTGTTTTGTTAACTGATTTTCAATTGATACATTTTGTTGTTCATTTTGTGTTACTGCAGCAGCAGTTTCACTTGTTTCAGAAATAGCTTTTGGCGAGGAAGGTCCAGGAGGCAATGGAATTGGCTCGTTTAGTTGTGTGCTCTGTTCATTATTTTGTTCAACATCCATCGATTCATTCGATTGACGACTTTCCTGCTCCTGCTCTTGACATTGTTCCATTTGCATAATTTGGGATTGGTCATCTTGGACTTGTTCTTGTCCAGGTAAAGGCGCCTTAGATTCCAATAGACTTATCGTCTCCTGTATAGTTTTGATAGCATTTTTACGAGCTTGACGAACATTTTCTCGTCCTTCTGTTTCTATGTCATCTAGTTTGATCAATTCTCTTGTTAGCATCTCGTCCAAGTAAATATATTGCTTGTCCTTGCGAGAGTTTCCGGTATACTGTTTGACTTGTTCAGCAAGAGAATCTACTTCTTTTTGTACCAAAGCTACTCTCTCAAGAGGATCTTTAGGTGGTGCAGGTTTTGGTATAGGTTTAGATGCCTCTTGTTGTTGCGCTTGTTGACCAGCTGCCTGTTGCTGCGAATGTAAATTTGGATCCTGTTGCTGATGCACTCTCTGTCGAGACTGATGATGTTCTTGCGGTTGAGAGTCGAATTGATGTCTTTGTGGTTGTTGCTCGTGTCGTTGTCTCTCGTTATATTGTTGCTGTTGTTTAGGTTGTTGATAATTCGGTGATTGCTGAGTACGACGTGTCGGTGAATGATCGAAAGATGGGTGTGGCTGATAGAAAGATTCTTGGAAATGTGGTCGCCATTGTCTAGACCCGAAACCTAGATTGAAAGGAGACGATTTGGAGAAATGTGATGAATTTTGAAATTGCGGTGGCGATTGTTGTCTTTGGAAAGGCGCATGGGCATTCTTCGAGATTACTGGCTCATCACGTCCTTCTACAAATATTGGTATATGCCTAACGTTGCTTTGTGGTTGCTGAGTTGGCTGTGAAGGTGGTGGTGGCGATGACTGCTGCTGAGAAGGAGAAGATTGCTGATTGTGCTGTGGCGTTATGTCAACTCTAGAAACGAAACGCTGTCCCGGCTGTGGCTGAGGCTTATCTTGCTCATGCGAACTTTGCTGAACGTTCGTTTGTTGTCTGTTCTCTGGTGGCGCTGACATCGAACGTTGTCCACGTGCATCCTTCTCAGAATTCTCCATATTGTCGCGATGATGTTGACCAATGTCAACGGTATTACGTAAACCGTATTGTGGAATAGGATTTCTTCTATCTTCCCTGTGCGATTCTTTATATTGTGAACGACCAGATGAGAATGAAGATTCTGGTTCACCGTGCGAACTAACGCCACTTGCACCACTCGCGGCGCTAGTAGCACTACTACCACTAGCTTGACTCCTGGCGTCCTCGTCTGGATAATTTGGATAACTACTACTGCTACCTCCGTTTCCTGAACCTCGACGTTGATTATTATGCGTAGATCCTCGGAATGGTATATCACCCCAAGGAGGTCCTAAAAGATGATCTGCGAACTCTGGATGTCGAGCAGCTAGGTCGTCCAAATGTGCTCGTATGTCAGTACGTCGACCAAAATCGTCGTCGTCGTCGAATGGAAAGCCCTAGAACATGAAAAAACAAATATTTCGATACCGATTCTTTTTTAAAACACAACAAAAGTCATATTAATACATTTCGTAAAAAATGACTCATTAGATCTCATTCGTTAAATGGCACACGATTCTTAATAATTGAGGTTACGAAATATACGTGCACATCTAATTTTGTTAAACTCTAAATAAGGAAAGTGCATAACTATGCACGTGTTCTATCAAGCAGTACTGTTACAATCCTTTAACATGACATGATATTTATATTATTATTTCGAAAGATATATACATATGTATATATATGTATGTATATACATGTATGATAGAAAAGCGTGGATTTCAATCATAAATTCTGTTAGTTAACACATTAAAATGTAATCGAAAAAATGTAAAAATTACTAAGGAAATGTAAAATTGCTTTTGTATATCGACCATCCTTGAAAACTTTTGTTTTTATTTTTACTGTTTTTCTTTTTATTTTTTTTATTTTTTAATGAGCATTGGGTTTAAATGGGTTAAGCAATGAAAATTACCAAAACTATTTGCATATTAAAAGGAAGAGAATGCAATTTCGGACTGCTAAAATATATCGCGTGTGACTCAACACTAAATATAACATCGAAGATTTTATATGATGCGTGTCGACGAAAATTTGTCGGAATTTGCCTAATTTCGAAATTAACTGAAGGTCTCAGAAAATTGCAGATAATCGTGAAACATTTTCATTGAAATATATATGTCCGCTACCTTTTCTCTCTTTTGCTGTATATTACATGAAAAAAAAAAAAAAAAATAAAAAAAAATTGAAAGGAATTAAAGAAATAACAAAATTTAAGTTTTACAAAAATGGAAAAGAGAAAAAATGGAGAAAATGGAATTTTAAAAAATTGAAAAAATGAACAAATGTAATTGAAAAAAAATTAAAAGAAATAAAAAAAATCAAATGAAAAAATTCCTTTCTTGTTTTTTAATAATTTTTTTTTTCTTTTTTTTTTTATTTCGATACATTTGTCAATCAAATCGGAAGTAATAATGGCGAGAAAAAAAATTAGTAGGTCGAAAGTTTTGATTATGCAAACGAAATTACATTTTTAGCTTCTATTCAGAATCAGCGATAATATACTCGCATTCCATGCCTTATAAGAGACTAAAATGATTTCACTGTGACTTTTGTCGAACTGTTTATCTATACTATAGTATATTATGACGTCAGTGAAAACGTGTGTAGGAAGAATGCAATAACCACTTATACGATAATCCCTGAGTCTCCATTATTTATATACGGATTGGACATTGAAAAATGGAAAGAAAGAGGAAAAATATATATATATTTTCGAAAAACAGCTATACGAGATAAATCAGAATCCGCCGTTTACCAATGTTTTCAGTTCTTCTGTTTACGTTTCATGGAAAAAAAAATTAAAGTAAATTAAATCAAATTAAACACGTAAATTACTAAACACGTAAATCTGGGTGAATGTCGTCGCTCTTTTGGCATAATGATTATTCTAACTAGAAAACTACGTGGCCGTCCTTGGACAACAATTTGATTTAACCTCGAAAAATATAAGAGAAATAAAAAAAAAAGACACAGTGTAAGTATAAGATACGTTTCCTTTTTTAAACACCTTAATTTTCTAGTAATTTTGGATTTTATTAAAATTACTTCGAAGAATATGACTATATAAATTAGTAATTTTCCAAAGAATTTTCTTTGATAATGATTAGTGATTGATAATAGAACTTATCGTCTATCTGTTCGAATAATTTCGAGCGAATGCATGACGCGCATTCTTTTGTAATTACTATCATTATGTAACATTACGTCATGTTAAGAATTGAAACATGACTTCTTTATTGACTTTCAATGTTTCTCTATGGGACCATATTATATAATATAGTATATACATAATTATTGTCATATATAAGCTTGAAAAATAATTAATATTGTTATTAACAACAATATGCATATATATCGATAGATTTATAGTATTCTAACAATAGTAAGAGAAACTAAAAGAGTTAATGTCTATTATATTTCAAAATTGCCTTGGGCACTCGACAAATAAGCATTAAAAGAAATATTCCAGAAAATAGAAAATTTTCCCAATATATTCAAGAAAAAGATAATATGATTAGAATGCTCCATAATCCTCTATTGCTTGTTACTATGAATGATCCACTTTAGCCTCTCCTCCCTTACAAACGAAAAGAAAAGAAGAAAAGAAAAAAAAAAAGAATAAAATAGAAAAAGATAGAGAGAGAGAGAGAGAGAGAGAGAGAAGCATAACGCATCTCTACCTTCGATAATCGTAGTTCCCTATTTTTAGTGCAACGTTGCCAGTTGTTTCTCTCTCTCTCTCTCTTTCTCTTTAACTCTTCCATTCCCTCCTCCACTCAACCCTTCACCTTGCGCATAAATTTGCCATGTTGCCATAAAACACGTTAAATGACAGTGTACCAGAGGAAGAAGACAGCAATCGGCAAGTCGTCGCGCACGTCTCGTGTCTATGTGTATAACTTTTTTCTTTTTCTTTTTTCACATTTAAAAAAAATTCGGTCGTGTATATATTAAAATGTTAATATTTCGTATTATACGTAGGTACATCCATGTGTTCATTCTTTTTATATATATACATTTTTATTATACATTTGAACGATCTAAAATATATTAAATTCGAAGCAATATTAATTTCTTTATGAAAAGTGAAACAAGCATACATCACAATTTTATTTTGCATTTTCTCTTTTACCGATTTCCAGCCGACATATTGCCACCACGTAATTCTACCCGTTAAACTATCTCTTTTTTTTCTCATATTAAAAATATAGAAAGAGAGAATTACACAAATGCTCAACGTTACACAAAGTGATCATATCTTTGACCATATTATTATTACTACTATTAGTTATAACAAGTTTAATTAGTAATTTGAAAAAATTGATTATTCCTTTTCGAGATTTTCTATAATTAATTTCTTTTTGCTAATTAGAACTATAAAAATCACCAGAAAGTGTAATTGGTTTTTAAAATCATCTGTGAAACACTTGATCAATTTAGAAACATTTGGCTCGTCCTGTAATATTACTACTACTACCATTACTACTACTATTACTACTACTATATATACTAAATATACTCGCGCGTGACAACACAGTAGTCTCTGTCTCTCCTGAAAGCGTTTATCATAAAACCGGTTTCTTCATCTTTATTTTTTTTTCTTTTTTTTTTATGTGCGAAAAGCAAAAGGGACACATTCGATTAGATCACGAACAAAAATATCACCTTATCGTTCACGTTCTTTTATTTTCGATATCGATGATGTCGTACACAGGTATTATTGCTTTAATTGTGTGTGTGTGTGTGTATGCGCTCGACTCTGCTGGTACCGATCAACTAATTCCTGGAATCGTTATAGGAAAAAAGCCAAAGCGAATAAAAAGAAATACACACGTGGATGATTACGCTCGTTTTTTGTTTCCGCTACTAACTTCTAAGCCGTTAATGTGCCGTCATCTCTGTCTCTTTGCCTTATATGGATCACTCGAATGCTCGACAGATGACGCGCCAAACACGAAAGTGACCGATTGAATTATTCGACACGCTTGTTGGTCACGTGCCGATGGAATAGCACAATAATTATTATTCTTTTCTTTCTTACTTTTTTTTTATTCTTTCTTTCGAATTTACTTCTCTCCCTTCTTTCTCCCTCTCTCTGTACTAGTTTAGAAAAGAGAGAGAGAGAGAGAGAAAGAGAGAGAGAGAGAAAGCTAAGTAAAGAAAGAAAAAAGAAAGAAAGAGAAAATATTAAGTTCACTAAAAAGTCGTGCAATACAATTTTTTTTCTTTTTTTAAATAAAACTTTTTATAATGGAGATAAAACAAAAAATAAATATATTTAAAATGAAAATAATGATGAAATTTTTTTGTTAGTAAACCTAAATATACTTTTAAGTAGATATAAATCATATGGAACCTTAAAATATGTTCACGATTAAAATGAACGAATCAACTAATCGCGTTCGATATTCTATATGCATTTTTTTTTTTTTAAGCCAGCCAATATCGTGCAAAAACGGTTGCCTTAGCAAAAGTGATAATCGACAAGGAAAAGCAGAGCAACATGAATAATATTAATCCACTTACGGCACTCGTACGAACGATCCTGGCACCGATCGAGGATGATCAAGAAGAAGAAATCGATCGAACCAAAGAGAAGACTGTTCAAAGGAAGGAAACATAGCGCGATAGTCTAAACGTTTCTAGCGTACCTCCTCTTGTGAGAGGGAGAAGGAACACACAAACACACACGACGTTACTGCTATTGTGACCTCGATTGGGCCGGCAGAATTGGTCGGCTCTAAGAAACGATTCTCTTTCTTTCTCTCTCTCTCTCTCTCTCTCTCTCTCTCTCTTTCTCTTTCTCTCTCTTCCTCTCTCTTTCCTCGAGGAGGTTTATTATTAGCGTCGGCGCATCACTGTTTTTGGAGGAAGAGAGACACGACATTAGTGGTCAAAGAAACGTTGTCGATTCTCTTTTATTCGAACAATTTCCTAATCACCTCATTCTATATCTTCTAGAAAATTAGAACAATATCGAACAATTTGTCTTTATATAAAATGAATTATAACGAAAGTGTTTTTCCAAAACGTTATTTTGATTAATTTGCATCGGGGAGGAAAAAAAGAAAAAAAGTTTTTTTTTTTCGAACTCACTTGGACGTCGTCGTATTAAAATGACGTTTTCAAAACAAAATTTTTTTTGAAAACACAAAAATTTGAGTACATTTAGAATTGAAATAGTTCGTAATATGTATTACATATAACCTTATCTAATCACCAGGCGCCATTTTGCAATAGAATTTTTATTTCATGCCAATCGAGGTAAAATTTGAAAATAATCGCGAGTTTATATACATTTTCCCCATCCTTTTCATAATCAAAGTAAATTATTTTATCTCGACGATGATATCGCGTGTTACCTTATCGACCGAGAACGATACGATACGATATAATCGTAGAATAAAACACTCATAACCTATCTTGTTTATCTCCCACGATGATTATTTTCTTTTTTCTCACTTTTATTTCGTATCTTTGTATCGATGACGTACGCTTCTACCGAAATATGCATGCCAATCGAAAAAAAGGAGAAGAAAAGAAGAAAAAAAAAAAAAAGAGAAAGAAAAAGAAAAAAGAAAAGAAAAATAAGAATCGAAACAAGTTCGAATGGAATTGGAATAAGACGGTCGTTCGAGAGCTACGAAAAATACGTCATTACACGCAAAATCTATTTCTAACGTCCATGCGATCCAAGAGAAGAAAACACGAAAAAGAAGGTCGAGTTCTAAGGATATATATATATATATATATATATATATATATATATGTATATACAGTTATACGTAAGTTGCAATATGTATATATAAGCTTTTACGAAATATACTGAAATTATTAGAAACTACGAAAACGATCCAAAAAGAAAAATATAAAAAAAAGAGAAGAACAGAAAAAAAAATATTACTACATTATCAATCAAGAAATTTTGATAATAAAAATATAAATAAACTCCTTTAAATAAAAAAAAGAAAAGAAAATATTTACATTTAAATAAATCAGGTGGATTCAATTCTAAAAAATCAACGAAAAAAATATATTTAACAATAGATAACAAGACGAACTAATTACAAACAAAAAAATGTCTGTCACTAACTTTAAGAAAAGGAAAAAAATAAAAAAATAAAGAAAAGAAATCCGAATTATCAAAAAGATTATAGATTTTCACCGCCAACATGATCAAGGATTTTGACTCTTAACCCTCTACGAAACTTAGTCGAATGTAAATCATCAAAACACTAATCGAATTAATGGGATGTAACACACAATTGTGATAGATGTACGAGTATATACACTGTGACATTTTTAACGACCTAATAATACCATGTCCTACTAGCATGATAAAAACTCACTCGATAAGTAGTCCAACAATTATAAAACATTGTTGTTAATATTAATCTGTATAGCGATAAAAATAAAAAAAATTAACAAAAGAAAAATAATAATAAACAAATCAGTTAATCGACCGATTGTTCTCTATCAATATCTTCTTCGTTCTAACTTAAATGTTTCTTAAAAAAAAAAAAAAAAAAAAAAAAAAAAAACCAATCATAATATACGGAATCGATATGACAAAATTATCGATATGAAAAAATTATACATGGTGTCCATCTAATATAAATATTTTTCTGGCATTACCGATAAAAAAAAAATATATATATATACACATTTTTTTTGTATAAAAAATATCTAATGATCCCCTAATATGGTATCGATAGATAAAGAAATATGATCCCAGATTAAGGATAAATGTAATTTTTCTTTTTTCATTTTTCGAATATTCCAAAGTAAAAAACAAAAAATGTTTCTTTTTAACATAATTAAAAAGAAAAAAAAAAAGAAAAAAAGAAATAATTGTTCCTAACATGGGAATCGATAAAGTTAAGAGAAATAATATGAAGTAGGCACGCGAGAGGGTTAAGGTCGGGCATAAAACCGTGATGTAATCGTTCGAATGAGGACTACTACTGCGAAAACACGCACGTATATATATACATACATACATATATATATATATACACATATATATATATATCTATGATATATCTCCATCCTCGCATCTTTTTCGTGTCATCGTCGTCATCGTCATCATCGTCCTCGTCATCGTTGCGTTTAAACTGCGTGGGGAGGAAAAAGAGAAAAAAAGGAATATCGAAAACTTACAGGGAACGAGTGGTCCAGATCGATCCCTCGTCCGAATTTGGATGCTGAATCCACGATGACGGGCGAATCCATTTTCTCTAAACTATTTTTATTCTTTTATTTTTATTTATTATTATATTTTTTTTTATGAATTTCGTCCTCTCTCTCTCTCTCTCTCTCTCTCTCCTCTCTCTCTCTCTCTCTCTCTCTCTCTCTCTCTCTCTCTCTCTCTCTCTCTCTCTCTCTCTCTCTCTCTCTCTCTGATTTGTACGTTCGTTCACGAGATTTTCTAGATCGTTCTTCCTCGTACTATATAGAGTAGGAGTGGGGAAAGAGATTAAATCACCTCTCTCTCTCTCTCTCTCTCTCTCTCTCTCTCTCTCTCTCTCTCTCTCTTTCTTTCTCTCTCTCTCTCTGTCTCTGTCTCTCTCTCTCTCTCTCTCTCTCTCTCTCTCTCTCTCTCTCTCTCTCTCTCTCTCTCTCTCTCTCTCTCTCTCTCTCTCTCTCTCTCTCTCTCTGTTTCTATGATCTGCTTTCTTTTACTATTTTTTTTTAACACCCAAAGAAAAAAGCTCACTAAGAAAAGAATAGCTTCTGCGTGGGTTAACGAAGGCGAGCGAAAGATAAAAATCGCACTCTCGTGCAAGAATCTTTTCTGAATTACCGGAAGTTGGTCACAAGCTTTCTCTCTCTCTCTCTCTCTCTCTCTTTCTCTTTTAATTTCTTTCTTTTAATTTCTTTCTTTTTCTCTTTTCGTCTCTCACGTACAGCACTTCCACATTGTTTTCTCGAACCTCACTCTATAATCTTGCGTCTTTCTCTTTCCCTTTCTCCTCACTTTGATTTTATTTTTTTTTTTAGCTCTCTTTCCTTTCTTTTATCTTTCGTGTTTTTTCATTTCCCTTTACACTACTTTCGGAAATGCACTTCACTTTATTTATGATTTATTATATTAATACGATAAAAAAAGAAATATATATATATATATAAAAAATGTATATTCCTCACTAGAAATATATTTATTTATATATATTACTATATTATATATATTCTACACCCGCACTTTAAATAATATTATTCTTTAACGAACCGTCGTCGTTCGAGTCAACAGCGAAACTGTCAGAGCACGCTCGCGTACGACCGATTTAAATATATTCCTCGCGTGGGACGATAGCTAGTCACGTGACCTTACTACGCCGGCACCGATTACGACCGAATGTTCGCGGAACTGTACGATCGAAACTACCAGAGAACGCTAGAACCTTCCTTATAGACTTTTCATTTCTTTCAAAGTATTGTGAGAGAAACGAAAGTGTTTAACGTTTTACTTAGAACGCGGCACGTGTGTTACCTTCATTTGTTCATTCGTTCGTTTGTTCGTTCGTTCGTTGTTATTTCTAATTTCTTATAACTTTCGATCCTTAGAAATATTTTATTCTATAATTCGATGATTAATATGTTCATACGTATGTTTACGTTTCGTGTTTAATCTAATCGATTAAATTATATTTGTTGCTTAATCTAATCGAAAAAAAATACGATATCGTGATTGTATTCATATTTTTTTAATTACTATTTATATATTTCACTACATTTGTTTTTTTCTTTTTTTTATCATACATACATATACATATAACAAATGTTATTTGATTTTAATTATATATTTTTTTTTATTTTTTGGACATATAATATTAATCAAATTTTTTAATATAAAGATACATTAATGGATTTTGTATTGGTTGCAATGGTGAAAAAAAAATGTATATACACATATATTTATGTGCATACATATTTATGCACGCATTTGTGTAGAATATCTTGATTTACATGCTACAATTGCTACCTTAATGATCGCGAAAATACTGGTACATTCCATAGGTGATTCACTGCCGCCCTACCCGTATTATTCTCGAGGCTACTGCAACGCTCTGCTTTTCTTTATTTTTATTATCGACAACTCTTGCAAGGTTGTATTCTCGACGTATCCGGCGCCTTTTATAGCAAACAAATATTCCCTTCGAGCTTGGACCTTCGAACGACAAGACGAAAGCTACATGGTCGACTTGGTTTTTTGGTACGTTCGACGTTTGAAGTTCGTCGAGAAAGAACTTGCTTCGATATAGAAGAAAGAATTATTTTTTAAAATACTTATCATTTTCCTCTTAATTTGAACTTAATTAATTTTTCTATCATATTTACATTATAAAATTAATACATTTATGTTTGTAATTAAAATATTTATATCGATATACATAGGTACCAATTGATTTTAAATTACAAGAAACAATAAATATGCTCGAATTTTTTTATGACATTGAGGTTATTATTAGAACATATAAGTTATAATTAGAAGATTTATATTCATATCATCGGGAACGAATGAATCAAAAATCCCGAGAAAAAAAAATAGGAAAAAAAAAAAAAGAAATACTATTTTTGTATCACATTGAGGTTATAATTAAAACATTGGATTCATCATCGAAGATCAATTAATCATTATCTATTTTTATTCTGAGACAATAGTCTCAAATTGACTCTCTCTCTCTCTCTCGCTCTCTCTCTCTCTCTCTCTCTCTCTCTCTCTCTCTCTCTCTCTCTCTCTCTCTCTCTCTCTCTCTATTTTCTCGACAATATACTTTCAGATTCACCATCGAGAAACATTAGTCAGCATCCAGAATTTGGTACGTTGCCAAACTCCTTAGGCTTATCACGAATACGAAAATGGATAATTGACCGCGGCCATAATCGTTCAGTAGAAAATTATTTCCATTAAGTATGAGAGGTTAAACACAACGATTCGTTCTAATAAATTAAACTAATCAATCACGACTTTCTCTCTCTCTCTCTCTCTCTCTCTCTCTCTCTCTCTCTCTCTCTCTCTCTCTCTCTCTCTTTCTTTCTTGAAGATATTTCAATTCGTACTTGACTTTTATTAATCTCTCCCATTGGATACAATGATCTCTCATCATTATTTATTTACCAAAGAATGACCATATATCGTGAGATATATGCTAATACATATATATATATACACGCATGTAGATATACATATGTACATATATTTTCACAACGATCGTGCCTTCGAGGGTGCAACAAAGTGTTTTTAGACGAAGCACGATGATTGGACGTAGGCCAAGTGCACTAGGAACAAGGTTTCATAATCTAATACAGTCGACTTGACTTTACCAATGACTTCAACATGATATCAAAACTGTGATTTCTATGTAATGAAAGGTCAAAAAAAATTGAAACTGAATAATAAAAGAAGAAAAAAAAGCAGGTTGAGAAGTTTGATTATCTTTTACATACAAAACTTGTCACGATTCGTGTAAACAATACTTATACTGGATGAGCCAACAAAAACGTTCCAGGTGTTTTTAAAAATTAATTACTTTAGAAAAATCAATTTAGAAAAAATCAATTTTTTCGAGATTTTTTTTAGGTTAATTTATTTATTCATTTATCTACTTTTTAAAATTGCGAAACTACAAGCCTCAACTTAAACTGGAAATCTAAAAAAAGTTATCAAAAAAAGTAATTGATCTTTAAAATCACGCAGAAATACTTTTGATCCACTCTGTATAACAAAATTTTCTAAAATTTAATCCAACACGTCAGATGCCATGTTTCAAATTTTTGTAGATCTAATAAAAAGGCGCAAATTTTAAAAACAAAATATATTGATTATATTATAATAAATGACAAGTCCATTGATATGAACATATTTATATATATAGGTAGAAAAAAAAATATATATAAATATATAGTTCTATATATATTTTTTTCATAAATATACAAATGTTTATAAAAAAATAGACATTTTCTCTGAGATAACATAAACAAAAGATGGATAAAACGATTGTCCTCTCTTACATGTATTCATTACGTTCGTAGTATTATATCTATATGCATACAAGATGTTTATAATGAGTATTGTTGCTTTGTCTGTTCATCTATGTGTGTATATGTGTGTGTGCATGAATAGATCGTATGAAGGTGACACAGCATGAAGTATCTCCTACAACGTGATAAAAGTTATGTAATAGATCAAGTAACGAATACAACGACGAACTGGCGTTCAGAGGACTATGAGATTCCAGGAACGAATGTTGTTTTCTTTGCTGATCCATGACCGCATATATAGAAATAATATCAATTACAAAATCAATTTTGTAAACATATATATTCATTATAAATTTGATGATAGAATTTTTGAAAATAAATCATAATCTCTTTGAAGATTAATAACAATAATTTGATTTAATTTAATAAAATAAGTCTTTTTTTTTTTATAATAAATAATAATTTTCTCATTAATAATACAAAATTGAACTGTATAATATTTTTAAATATCAATTTTTTGATACAATTTTTGATAATTTTTTCTCATTAACAGATATAATAACATAAAATTAAATTCTGAAATATTTACATATAAATAATTTAATGATAAAATTTTTAATAGAATTTCTTTATTAAAATAATACAATAAATTTTTCCTTTTTTTTTTATAATTCAACTTCGAATTCTAAAATATCTACGACAATTTGATGATACAAATTTTATTAAATTTTCATATCGATAATAAACGATGATTTGTTTCATTGAAATAAATTTAATAAAATTGTACGTTCATAATAACAATATATGATTGACAAAAAAAGATGATGAAAGTTGAGTATCTTGTGTAAGACTCATTGTCAGTGTGAAACGAATCGTAAAAACAGAAGTTGTTACACAGCTTAAGAACGAAGAGATTGTTGGAGTGAAATGCTGAACTTTTAAGTTTACTAAGTAACTCGAACGAGTTTCACAGGACGATTCATTTGATCGTTGTTTTTTAATCGACACGGAAGTAAGCAGCCGCTAAACTAATTCGCATATCCGCGTGAAATTTAAAATGGTGTCAATGTACAGAAGAAAGTGTACGTATGTATGATAACGTACTTTTTAGATTTGTAATCAAACTTGCAGTTATATAAGTTATGTTTGTAGTTTTATAAATCTGGAGAAAAGAAATTAATCAAAACAGTTTCGAAAGGAAAGTAATTTATATTTAAAAAGATAGAAATCGTTATAGAAAAATTTGGTATGTAATTTTTCGATCTATTCTGACTATCATTCTTTCTCATCTCCGCCTTACTTCCCTTTTGTTGATCGAGTCGAATAACTAGAACTTGCCATTAATTGAGTTAACTTCTAATAATTAACTTTGTAACCTTCAAAGTCATTTAACAAAATGGGATTAAGTTGCGCCGAGACATTTTTAAAGAAAATCGTATCGTATTTATCAAATCGAACTCATATCTAAATAGTATTGTTTAGAAATTATTTATATTTACGTTGGTGTGTATACAGAATTATATGTATAGTAGCGGCAGAGATGTCATTAATCGTTTTACGAACGACGTCGTAAACAATTTCTAATAAATTAAAAGAATTTCATGGCTCGCTTAATCCAAATAAACGAAGCGAACGACAACGAAGCGTTTTAATTGGATAAATCAAATTCGTGCTGGCTCGTTTAAAATCGTTGGTAGTAAAATTGCAACATTTATCGAAGTATGTATTATTTTGTAAAGAGGTTAGAGTTCGTAAAAAAAAAAAAGAGAAGAAAGTTACTAAATTCGTAAATTATCAAAAACATACAAATCAGTAAAAATAAATAAATTATTATAAAAGAATCAAATATTTTAAGGTAAAATCGATAATAAAAATAAATATTTATTTAATTATGAACACATACACACACTAATCATACTTATATCATATATATGAAAATAAATAGAAATATACTTGTCGATAAATAGTGCAGATGGTGTTGCCATCTATCGGTATTAGACGAAGTTAAAATATTCGAACTATGCAAATATATATACATCTGTCAGTATTAGATTTCTTCTAATTTCTTTTATACCGATACAAAATAAATCATCTTGTTTTATTGTCTTAGGACAGGAAAAGAATAAACGAACAAAAAAGAAAAAAAAACCTTCTTTACCGACCGAATACAATCACAAATTGCAAAGTTTTATTAAAATTATTTTCTATAAAAATAGAAATAATTGACAATACGAAAAAACAATACGA